CAGGTACTGTCAAGAAGTGTGGGAACCCTGTGTGTAATTACTCATTTGATTTGATTAGACCAGGGAGCCGCATGTGGCTCTTTAGCGCTGCCCTTGTGGCTCCCTGAAGCTTTTTCAAAAATGTTCAAAAAGATGGGGAAGGTTAGTATATATTTTTGTTTTAATATGATTTCTATAGGAGGACAAACATTTTTAACGTTTTCAAATGCTGTAAAAGTGTGTAGAGTTAATATTTAATTTCAACATTTCTGTCAACGAAGATTTGCGTCATAGCCTGCGACACAGGTTTCTATCAGCAGGGCGGGATGCCAGGCAGGTGGCTGTTGTAAACAAACCGGGAGATAATAAAGCATGGAAAGCCGTTCACAGATGGTGACCAACCACTTGATTTCAGTGGCTATTTAATCATGAAGGCTCATTATGTATTTGTAGCCAACTTAGTCATTTTTATAGTAGGCTAATATAGCTACTATATATACACACACAGCATGTGTTTCCTTCATTATAAGGCTTTACATTTTTTGCGGCTCCAAACATATTTGTTTTTTTTTTGGTCCAATATGGCTCTTTCAACATTTTGGGTTGCCGACCCCTGGATTAGACAATGACTCAAAACCAAACCACTTATAAATTTGTTTCACACAAGAGATTTTCTCTTCAATAGCTCAACACGCACGCACGCACGCACGCATGCACGCACACACACACACACACACAAAATATATATATAGAATATTACTAAATTTTATTTGTTTGTTTAAATTCAACCAATATAAATTGTTTGCAACATGCAACCATGTACCTTAAACAATATTTAGTAAATATAATTAATCATTTTTTTCAGTATAGCAAGTCTTTTTTGTTTCTTTTTTATTATTTTTGTACATTTATTTGTATGAGAATATATATATATATTTCTGGTGAAATGTAGTCTTTTGGAATCAGTTGTAAGCTTATTTTGGTGTTTGCATTTTTTTTTTTTTTGTACATTGAAAAAATATATTCTCACACAAATAAATGTACAAAATAATAAAAAATACACAAATAAAAGACTTACTACACTGAAAAAAATATTATTTACATTTACTAAATATTGTTTAAGGTACATGGTTGCAAACAATTTATATTGGTTGAATTTAAACAAACAAAGATAATTTAGTAATGGGTTTCTTTAAATTTAGCCCATATAAATAGTTTGCAACCACCAACTCTAAACAAAATGTAGTAAATCCAATGAATCATTTTTTTTTCAATGTACAAACAAAATGCAAACACCAAAATAAGCTTACAACTGATTCCAAAAGACTACATTTCACCAGAAACACTTTTAGCACTGGAAACAGGTTTGTGAAAGGCAAGAATTTCTAAGAGTACAGATCAATTTCAGTCAGTTCCCATTTCCAGCTGAGCCAACAAGCACAATCACATTAACCCTTGATCACAGAGCAGGAGACATCCGATAAATAAAACGTCAGTTCCCCTGAATCAAAACTTCATTTCATTTCAATGGCATCTGCTAAGATCAAAATGCTGTCAAATTTCCTTTTTATTCGTGCAAACCTTTATTTAGCCCCAGATTAATTTGCATGATCAATTGTCAGTGGCTGGTACAGTAAAGAAGAGCACTTTGTTTACACAGACGTTTTGAGCAAATGAAGCAGCAACATTTTTTTTTTACATAGGTTTCAGCATATTAATAATCCGTAAGCATCAGTGATGGGAATAGTAAGGAATTGAATGATTCTGGCTCCAGTTCAGATTCCACTTAAAGATTCTGGCTCCTTAAGGATTGCATTAACAATTCTTTCAGGTCTTGAGAATAATCACTATTATTTAGAAAACAAGCAATCAAGTGAATCTCTCCTAAATATTCGTAAACCCTAAACAGACCATTTCAATGTGATGTCATTGGCCCATGAACACTTCTTGCTTGCTGTCAAACAGTAGCCCCTTTCACACATACAGACCTTTCCGGAAAATTGCCGGCAATTTTCCGGAAAGGTCTGTATGTGTGAACAGGTCCTTTTTGAAAATACCGGTAAATTCGTTCTGGCTATTTTCCGGAAAGAGAAGTTGTAACATTACCGGCAATTTGCCGGAATGCTGCGCTGTGTGAATGCAGAAGGAAGATTACCGTAATAAGCGCGTGCACGTCTAGAACGTGCTGACGTGAGACGTCTGCTTTAGCCAATCACAACAGTCAGACGCATTTACGTCCGCGCGGTTTGTGAGAATAAAAACCTTTGAATATTTTTCCAGACACCTTTAGCTGCTAGAAGTTAGTCAGATCACGTTTATATGTTCTTCTTAATGCAAACTGTGTAAATAATCATCGATGAGATGCTTATGATAAGCCGCTGTTTGTTTACCTTCAAGCTTTGCGTGTGCCTGTAAAACAGCCTGTGAGCGCCTGCACACGCACATATTATGAACATCTCGACATGCGAAAGTGATCCTGCGAAAGTTGTTCACAATATTGATCATCCACAGAGTTTGTAATTTAGTCAAATGTTTACAAATACAAGCGCAGCCGTTTAAAGCTCATTTGTGGTGAATGATGTCAGAATTTACCGGTGTTTTGGAATGGATGTGTGAATGCTCTTTTCCGGAAAATTTCCGTAACGTTCTCGCCTGTGTGAACAGCGCTTTTTTCAATATACCGGTAAAGTCGTTCCGGAAATTTTCCAGATATTTACCGGCATCACTGTGTGAAAGGGGCTAGTATCATTACTGTAACAAGAAGCAGTTCAATTATAACTTTACATTAAAACAGCCAACATAACATCCTTTATCAATATGGGGGTCTTTTTGGATTTCTGCAAGCTATGAAAAGTAAAAATATAAAACAGGAAATGCATTAGGACCATTGTTATCGGTTACATCCCTTAAAATGCTCCATCAGGCTGCACAAGAAATCCGCAACTCGTTTGTCAACAAATCAATTGAACCATGTCTGTGCAAGAAGATCAACTGCTGGAGATCTTTTCTAGAGTTCGGCTTGCGCCCTCAAGCAGTGTGACGCACTTGCGCAGCAATGTTTTGTCAGCTTGTCATCCGCTGAAAAAATTGATTATTATATAAATACTATATAAACAGTTTATATAGTTTATTATTTAGTTTATTAAAATAGTTTATTGTATATATATATATATATATATATATATATATATATATATATATATATATATATATATATTATCAGACATACTGTGAAAATTTCCTTGCTCTGTTAAACATCATTTGGGAAATATTTAAAAAAAGAAGAAAAAAAAAATCGAAGGGGGCTAATAATTCACACTTCAACTGTATGTATGTATGTATGCATGTATGCATGTATGCATGTATGTATGTATAGTCAAAACAGTCAACAGTCAAAAAGTGATGACTTTGACTGAAGATTACCAAACTTTTTTTTTTTAATTATCATGCAGTGGGCGACACGGTGGCTCAGTGGTTAACATTTTCACCTCACAGCAAGAAAGTCACAGGTTCGAGTCCTGGCTGGGTCAGTTAGCATTTCTGTGTGGAGCTTGCATGTTCTCCCTGTGTTGGTGTGGGTTTCCTCCGGGTGCTCCGGTTTCCCCCACAGTCCAAACACATGCGCTATAGGTCACTTGAATAAACTAAATTGGTCATAGTGTATGAGAGTGAATGAGTGCGTATGGGTGTTTTCCAGGACTGGGTTGTAGCTGGAAGGGCATTCGCTGTGTAAAACATATGCTGGAATAGTTGGCGGTTCATTCCACTGCGGCGACCCCTGATAAATAATGAGACTAAGCCGAAGGAAAATGGATGAGTAAATAAATTAACATGCATGAATAAAATGTTTATCTAAAGAATAAAAATGTGCACTAGCAAAACAAACATGGTAAAATTGTATTTCAAATGCACAAATAAACACAAATAAACTAATATTTTCTTTTCAACCCAAACTCTGTTTGCCCAACAGCTATGAGTAGCATTAAATAATAGATAGAAATACAAGAACAACATTTCAATACATTAATCATCATCTTTGCTTATTTATTTATTCATGTATTTATTAATTAATTCATCCTTTCTTTATTTCATTTATTTATCATTTGTTTAATCATTCATTATTTATTTATTTCATTTAGTTATCATTTATGCATTCATTCATTCATTTATTTTATTTTTCATTTTTATTCAATCATAATTTATTTATTTCATTTATTTACCATTTATTTATTCATTCATTATTTATTTATTTATTTCATTTAGTTATCATTTATGCATTTATTAATTAATTTTATTTATCTTTTTTTGGTCATTTAATCATAATTTATTTATTTCATTTATTTATCATTTGTTTATTCATTTATTATTTATTTATTCCATTTAGTTATCATTTATGCATTTATTTATTCATTCATTCATTTATTTTATTTTTATTTATTGATCATTTAAATTTTTGTTCATTCAATCATAATTTATTTATTTCATTTATTTATTCATGTATTTATTCCTTCTTTCATTATTTATTTATTTCATTTACTTATCATTTATGCATTTATTTATTTATTCATTCATTCATTCGTTTAATTATTTCATTTATTTATCATTGTATTAAATTGTTCATTCGGTCATAATTTATTTATTTTATTTATTATTTATTTATGTATGTATTTATTAACTCATTCATTCATTTTTTTTTTTTTTATAATTTTATCATTATTGCTATTAAATTATGGTTTCTAAGAGTGAGAACTTTCTCATTCTTAGAATTTTCTAAGAATGGAACTTGAATCAAAGTTAAAGATGATAAGCAAGTCTTTTATTCTCTCAGGAAAACTTTTTTAATTTTCAGTGAAAGACCTTTTTTCTAGGACAGTCAAAAAGGAAGCAAACTGAAAAAAATTAACAATATATTTGAGAAGGTTTTGGGTGATTCGTCTTTACCTGTACCAACCACATCATCAGTAAACTGGATTAAAGGGCCGTCAAAAGCAGCAAAGTCAGAGACTCAGACAGCTACTCGCCTGTGTTGGAGCGCCGCCGGATGCCGAAGTCCCAGCTCGAGGTGATGTCGACCGACTGAGAGAGATCGCAGGTCTGTCCGTCTACTCCTCCACCACTGCTATCTCCATACGAACCCCCAGACGAGCCTCCGCCAGCGGACGCCGCAGACAAATGACACTTCTCCAGATCCACATCGTGGTCGATCAGTACCATCTCACACATCCCGGTGTCGTCGCTGGTAACGTGCGACTGCCGGATGTGGGCCAGGATAATGGCCGGGTTGTCCAGGAAAGCCATTCTGAGCACCAGCCCCTCGTCCCTCTTCTTCTGTCCGGATGTGCAGACCCTCAGTCGGAGTGAGAGGATGAAGATTCCTCAGCGATGCAGCGTCTTCTTTTCCTTCTTTTGGGGGTTATTTTCTCCTCTCCATGGTGGGACATGGATGCCTGCCTGCAAGGTAACAATATGCTTAAATATTACCCATTGTGTGCTGTTAGGGATGTTTTCGTCCATTGTGAGGGTGATTTTGAGTCTTAAGCCCCTTTCACACATACAGACCTTTCCGGAAAATTACCTTCAATTCTCTCGATCTCAGTGAAATAGGGGCTTTTTCTGTTAATGTCAGTGAAAGACTGATCCAGCAAACACACACAGTGAAATTGTGCACAGTTTATGAGTTTTAAGTAGTTAGAGCGTTGTAAATACTCATGCTCGCCTCCCTCGCGACAGAGCGCATATGAGGTAAATGATGTCAGTAATAACCAGTTATGGTTATTACTGAACTGATACCGAATTGTCCGCGTCTCCATCGCGGTGCACCGAAGAAACGATTAATTTTGACAACCCTATTAGTTAGTTTAGTTTATTACGTCTGGGAGATTACTGCGAAATCACTAAACATCTATAACGATAGACTGTATTCAAACAGCAATAAATTTAGTTAAATTGACATGCTTACATAAAGCGTAGTACAAATATAAACACCCCTTTATTAACCATAAACAAACAAACAGAAATGGTAGAACGTGATGACGTCAGTAAAATGCCAATTAACGTAATCCAGAGACTTTTAGCGACTTTGAGCAGAGCTTAGCGCCTTTTCATTTAAAATAGTTGGTGACAGTGAGTGATAGAATTAGGTTATAATAATGAGTGACGCCTAATCTTAACATTTAACGTCTCATTTACATTTCAAGTATTTAGAATTTCAGCTTAGCTTCAGGCTTGCATATCATATGCACTTAAGCTGCATATTTCTGTTTAGCAAAATGAATCCAGCAATTATTGACAATTATTTTATGCCACGCTTTTGATGGTTGAAAATGTCACACCGATTCCTACAAAAAAATGCAAGCTAAGATCACTCAATCTTTTTTAGGAAAAAAGAAAATCACAAAGACATACACAAGTGTATAATGGATGAAATGAGTCTTTAAACCAGGTTCTGATCTTGCTCTTATGAGCAGGTTTATGATATAAACATACAATAATGATAATAATAATAATAGGTTAATGCAATAGCTTTGCACTTAAAACTTTACGAAGACATATTTTTGGGGATAATAACAACTAATATTTATATCCAATTAAGAAAACAGTCTGATATATTGAGGCTATACACAAAAAGGCAATATGATATTAGAAAAATCTGACATTGCGATGTTTTGTTTTTCTGCAATATGAATACAATTTAAAGTAAAAAATTTAATCAAATTAAAGTTTTAAACAGTACAATTTCTAGTGCCGGAGTCTTTACACTCTCTTAATATGCTCATACAGTCACCGACCTTAAAGACATGTAAATGATAAGCATTTGCTCTGTTATGGTAAAAACATACAATGACTCCAGCCTGACTACTGAACCGAGGCTCCAGGTCAAAAATAATCCCAATACAACATTGCAGATCTTTGTGGACTATTGCGAATATACACATTGTGATTTCAGAAATTTCAGAAAAGTATTCTTTGCAAATACTAAATAGCGAAATCATATTAGCAGCCAACGACTATCAAAGTACAACAGCGTTCACAGTCAATTAAACAGAGCTAATGTTGTTTTGAAGTCATACTTGCATACAATTTCAGACTGAATATTCAAAGTATCATGGTAAACAATATAGGGACCGTGTAACAAGTTGTGTTCATAACAGTACATCATCATAATATATATGTATTAGCCTTTTTAACTTCTGCTTTATTATTTTATTGAACACAAAAGTCCAAATGTGCGAATATAAAACCAACTTTAACTTCATGCTGTCATGATGGTTCCACTCAATAGAAACTAGGGATGTAACGGTATTGTAAATACCGTCATACCGCAATATTAATTTTTTTCGATATTACCGAAGTCGCATGACTCGGTAAAACTATAGGTCTTCTGAGAAAATTTGCTCAGGCGAATGAAGCGAACGGGAGGTAGCGAAAACTACATTTCCCATCAGCCCAGGCGTGGCCATAATCCTTTGCGGTCTGTTGTCGCTACAGATCCAGTAATGCGGAAATGGAGTGTGCTTCTAGTAGCGGGGATGAAAAAGAGCTGGAGATGATCGAAACCTAAAGCGGGTGTTGTCGCCGCGCGCGTACTGAATAGCAGTGTTGTCGCGCGCGTACTGTAAAGCAGGTCGCACACCAGAAGCGCCGCGCAGCGCCACGCAGCGCCATGTATTTTAGAATTCTAAACATAGGTTTCTATCAGGATACACACACCGGCACCGCAAGTCGGCGGCTGTCGGCGGCGCACGGCGACGGCTCAGGACGCAGTTCATTTTTCAGCCGCGCCACAGAGCGCCATCTGATTAGTTTCATGTTAAATATCCTTCGAATGTGCGCGTCTGGTGTGTGATACTTTAAACTGTCATGTGCGCGCCGTGTCGCGGCGCTTCTGGTGTGCGACCTGCTTAAAGCAGAGAGGGGGGTTGAGTGCGCATACTCAAGAGCGTTGTTGTCGCGCGCCTACTGAAGGGCGGGACGGAGCGTGTGTCGCGTCGCGGGGGCACTTTTGATCATTTTGGAAGGGAACTTTCTATCCAAGACTAAAAAGGGCATGTGCACTGCACAGGTTGAGCCCTATGTGTGCACGTGCCTGCAAGTTGGGGAATAGGACTAATAATCAGTCATGGGGACTGCAGAAACACAGCACACTGTTCAGATTGATGCAGACATGAGACCTCTATCTCAGTCATGGCTTGTCCTCTCAAGTGGGGGAAAGACAATGTACAACGTTACCCACTGCTGTCAACCTGGGCCAAGTCATATCTCTCTGTCCCAGAAACCTCAGTCCCAAATGAGAGGGTTTTTTTCTGTTGCAGGGGACATTGTAAATACCCAGAGATACCAGCTTTTACCAGATTATAGTTATAAGATAATTTTCCTTAAAGCCCATCTCTATCTAAGTAAGTGAGTGAGTGATTAAATGTTGAATGTGATGAGTTTTCAACAATACTAAATTGAAACTTTATTTTTTTACATGGTTTAATATTTTTTTGTTATTAAAATTGAAGTTCCTGTTTCAAAGCTTACAGATAGATGACTAATTTGTATGTCATTGACACTTTTGGCACTTTTTTGGAGTATTTTCATAAGTTTTGCTTTTCCTGTAAATGATTCAATAAATACCGTACCGTGACATTCATACCGAGGTATTACCGTACCGTGAAATTCTGATACCGTTACATCCCTAATAGAAACGCAAACAAAAATCTTCTTAACTAGTTTGAAGTAAGTTAGTTTTATATTCACACATTCAGACTTTCACCTTCTTGACATAATTTCATTAGGTATTTAATTAAAGCAAATTATAAATAGGGAAATCAAATTAGCTGCCGATGACTGTCAATCAATGTTTACAGTCAGTTAAGTCGTGCTAATGTTGTTTTGAAGTCATTACTTGCATGTGATTTCAGACCAATTTTTCAAAATAGCGTAAAAAAAAATATAGCAGGTCACAAGTTATGCTGATGACATCATGTCATAATAATATATATGTGCTATAATATATATGTGTATATTTACCTCAATCACTAGCTGTCAGAAGTGGGGGAAGGTTTATATATTCACACTTTTCTTAATATAATTTCAGAAAAGTTTTCTTTGCAAGTACGAAATAGTGAAATCATATTAGCAGCCAACGACTATCAAAGTACAACAGAGATCACAGTCAATTAAACAGAGCTAATGTTGTTTTGAATTCACAGTTGCATGCAATTTCAGACTTAATATTCAAAGTATCATGGTAAACAATATAGGGACCGTGTAACAAGTTGTGCTCATAACAGTACATCATCATAATATATATGTATTAGCTTTCTTAATTTCTGCTTTGTTATTTTATTGAACACAAAAGTCCAAATGTGCGAATATAAAACCAACTTCAACTTCATGCTGTCATGATTGTTGAAATAGACTCAGCGGAAACCCAAACAAAAACCTTCCTAGCTAGTTTGGGGTAAAGTTAGATTTATATTCATACATTAAGACTTTCACAATTTCATTATGTACTTAATTTGAGCAAATTATAAATAAGGAAATCAAATTAGCTGCCAATGACTGTCAAGCAATGTTTACAGTCAGTTAAGTAGTGCTAATGTTGTTTTGAAGTCGTACTTAAATCCTTAAATGCAATTTTAGACTGAATATTCAAAGCAGCATGGTAAACAATATAGGGACCGTGTAACAAGTTGTGTTCATAACAGTACATCATCATAATATATATGTATTAGCCTTTTTAAATTCTGCTTTGTTATTGTTATTGAACACAAAAGTCCAAATGTGCGAATATAAAACCAACTTCAACTTCATGCTGTCATGATGGTTCCACTCAATGGAAACCCAAACAAAAACCTTCTTAACTAGTTTGAAGTAAGTTAGTTTTATATTCACACATTCAGACTTTCACCTTCTTGACATAATTTAATTAGGTATTTAATTTGAGCAAATTATAGATGGGGAAATCAAATTAGCTGCCGATGACTGTCAAGCAATGTTTACAGTCAGTTAAGTCGTGCTAATGTTGTTTTGAAGTCGTACTTGAATGCTTAAATGCAATTTTAGACTGAATATTCAAAGTAGTGTGGTAAACAATATGGGAACCATGTCAAAGGTAATGCTAATAACAGTAAATCATCATAATTTACATGTATTAGCCCTTTTAAATTCTGCTTTATTATTTTATTGAATGCTTAAGTCTAAATGTGCGAATATAAGACCGACTTTAACATAAAGGTAAAGTTGGTTGTATTTTAGCACATTCGTTTATTTACAAGTGTCTATATAGTTTACCATGTTATTTTGAATATTTGATCGGAATTAGCATGCAAGTATGACTTGAAAACAACATTAACACTGCTTATTTGACTGTAAACAGTGTTGTACTTTGATAGTCATTAGCTGCTAATATGATTTCGCTATTTTGAGTTTGTAAATAATACTTTTATGGAATTATATTATTAAGGGGAAAGTCCGAATGTGTGAATATAAAACCAACTTTACCTATATAATTTTAACTTCATACTGTCCTGATGGTTCCACTCAATAGAAACCCAAACAAAAATCTTCCTTACTAGTTTGGGGTAAAGTTAGTTTTATATTCACACATTCAGACTTTCACCTTCTTGACATAATTTCATTAGGTATTTAATTAAAGCAAATTATAAATAAGGAAATCAAATTAGCTGCCGATGACTGTCAAGCAATGTTTACAGTCAGTTAAGTAGTGCTAATGTCGTTTTGAAGTCGTAATTAAATCCTTAAATGCAATTTTAGACTGAATATTCAAAGTAGTGTGGTAAACAATATGGGAAGCATGTCAAAAGTTATGCTGATAACAGTACATCATTGTAATAAACATGTATTAGCCCTTTTAAATCTGCTCTACTATTTTATTCAACGCTGAAGTCTGAATGTGCGAATATAAGACCAGCTTTAACAGAGGTAAAGTTGGTTTTATTTTCACACTTTCGTTCATTTAAAAGTCTCTATATTGTTTACCATGTTACTTTGAATATTTGATCAGAATTAGCATGCAAGTATGACTTGAAAACAACATTAACACTGCTTATTTGACTGTGAACAATGTTGTACTTTGATAGTCATTAGCTGCTAATATGATTTCGCTATTTAGAATTTGTAAATAATACTTTTATGAAATTATATTATTAAGGAGAAAGTCTGAATGTGTGAATATAAAACCAACTTTACCTCTATAACTTTAACTTCATGCTGTCATGATGGTTCCACTCAATAGAAACCCAAACAAAAATCTTCTTAACTAGTTTGGGGTAAAGTTAGTTTTATATTCACACATTCAGACTTTCACCTTCTTGACATAATTTCATTAGGTATTTAATTAAAGCAAATTATAAATAAGGAAATCAAATTAGCTGCCGATGACTGTCAAGCAATGTTTACAGTCAGTTAAGTCGTGCTAATGTTGTTTTGAAGTCGTACTTGAATGCTTAAATGCAATTTTAGACTGAATATTCAAAGTAGTGTGGTAAACAATATGGGAAGCATGTCAAAAGCTATGTTATTAACAGTACATCATTATAATAAACATGTATTAGCCCTTTTAAATCTGCTTTACTATTTTATTCAACGCTAAAGTCTGAATGTGCGAATATAAGACCAGCTTTAACAGAGGTAAAGTTGGTTTTATTTTCGCACTTTCGTTCATTTAAAAGTCTCTATATTGTTTACCATGTTACTTTGAAAATTTGATCGGAATTAGCATGCAAGTATGACTTGAAAACAACATTAACACTGCTTATTTGACTGTGAACAATGTTGTACTTTGATAGTCATTAGCTGCTAATATGATTTCGCTATTTAGAATTTGTAAATAATACTTTTATGAAATTATATTATTAAGGAGAAAGTCTGAATGTGTGAATATGAAACCAACTTTACCTCTATAACTTTAACTTCATGCTGTCATGATGGTTCCACTCAATAGAAACCCAAACAAAAATCTTCTTAACTAGTTTGGGGTAAAGTTAGTTTTATATTCACACATTCAGACTTTCACCTTCCTGACATAATTTAATTTGGTATTTAATTTCAGCAAATTATAAATAGGGAAATCAAATAAGCTGCCGATGACTGTCAATCAATGTTTACAGTCAGTTAAGTAGTGCTAATGTCGTTTTGAAGTCGTACTTAAATCCTTAAATGCAATTTTAGACTGAATATTCAAAGTATCGTGGTAAACAATATGGGAAGCATGTCAAAATGTATGCTGATAACAGTACATCATTATAATAAACATGTATAGCCCATTTAAATTCTGCTTTACTATTTTATTCAACGCTGAAGTCTGAATGTGCGAATATAAGACCGACTTTACCTCAATCTTAACAAGACCAGGACAACCATGCCATACTGTAACACCACATGTTAAAAAAGAATAAACATAACATTAACTCTAAACAAAATGAGAAGTGATGCTAAAATGCTAATTAGCCACAAGATATTCAAGTTACTTCTTATAACCGCGATAACTGAGTCGTGTTGAGAAGGTGAATGATCGCAAAAGTGCTCTCATTACTGTCTCACACGACTAATGTTATATTTAAGCCCTATTTTTGATAAAACAGACGTCATTCAGAGCTAAGTGAACGCGCATAGTCAGCCTATGCTAACGCTAGTGCTAATCTGCTCGATAAGCCTGAACCATTAGCGCATATTTACCTTCATTCAAGGCTGTAACAGCGGCTGAAAACATGACAGAGCCGCCACACCGTCTGAGCGAGACGCCGACCGGACTGTTTCATTTCATACTTATGGAGAAATCCGCCCCAAAACTGAAGAAATGTCTCTGTTTACTGTGTTGTTCCTGTGTTGGTGATTCTGGAAGCTACTTCCTGCGGGTTTGCCTCTCATACCGGAACAACACCGCTCGGGAGAACGCCCTCCGGAATGGAAGATAGACAGGGCATGTGGCCAATCAAAGACTAGAGATTGTTTATGACAAAAAATAAAGTAGACAGAATTCATTTATATTTTATAACTAACTATAGTAACTATATAGTATTATAATACAACTATTAAAGAAAAAGACTAAACACAGAATTGAAATAAAATAAAAGACCTTTGAAGGACTCAAGGACTGTTTATGATAATAAAGTAGACAGATGGAGTGATAATAAATAATAATAAATTTATGATAATAAAGTAGACACATGGAGGGTTGTTTAACTAAATAAAATTAAATAAAATTGAATTAATGTAATTTTAATTAAATGTAATTTTATTTTAAATTTAATTTTATTTTATTATTTAATTTTATTTCACTTTTAATTTAATTTGTTTCATTTAATTTTATTCTATTTTATTATTTTATTTAATTTAATTTAAATTTAAATTTATTTTTATTTTATTTATTTATTTATTTATTTATTTATTTTTTCATTCATTTTTTTTTTCGGCTTAGTCCCTTTATTAATCTGGGGTCACCACAGTGGAATGAACCGCCAACTTATTCAGCACGTTTCACACAGTGGATACCCTTCCAGCTGCAACCCAAAGACATGTGGTACAGGTGAATTGGGTAGGCTGAATTGTCCATAGTGTATGAATGTGAATAAGTGTGTTTCCCAGAGATAGGTTGCGGCGGGATAGGGCATCCGCTGCATAAAAACGTGCTGGATAAGTTGGTGACCCCGGATTAATAAAGGGACTAAACCGAAAAGACAACAAATAATTTAATTTAATTTAATTTAATTTAATTTAATTTAATTTAATTTAATTTAATTTAATTTAATTTAATTTAATTTAATTTAATTTAATTTACTCTTGTGAACTCTTTACTTTATTTATTTATTATAATAAAAAGTCAGCCAAGAGATTATAAAAAACATATATAAGGTAGAGAGATTAACAGTTGTTTAATTTAATTTAATTTTATTGTATTTTATATTAAATATTTATTTTTACATTTTACTTTGCTTTTATTAAATATATATTACAATTTTTTAATTTAATTTAATTTAATTTAATTTAATTTAATTTAATTTAATTTAATTTAATTTAATTTAATTTAATTTTTATTTGGGTAATTTCTAAAAGGTAAATATTTTAAATATGTAAGATTAGTAAAACAGCATTGTTTTTTATAACTTGAAATAATGTTTAAATAAACAATTTATAAAATATTTACAAATGTTAAAGATCTCATATTTTAAAGGACTCTTGTGAACTCTTTACTTTATTTATTTATTATAATAAAAAGTCAGCCAAGAGATTATAAAAAACATATATAAGGTAGAGAGATTAACAGTTGTTTAATTTAATTTAATTTTATTGTATTTTATATTAAATATTTATTTTTACATTTTACTTTGCTTTTATTAAATATATATTACAATTTTTTAATTTAATTTAATTTAATTTAATTTAATTTAATTTAATTTAATTTAATTTAATTTAATTTAATTTAATTTAATTTAATTTAGGGACGACGTGGTGCAGTGGTTGTGCTGTCGCCTCACCGCAAGAAGGTTGTTGGTTCAAGCATTGGCTGGGTCAGCTGGAGTTTCTGTGTGGAGTTTGCATGATCTCCCCGCGTTCGCATGGGTTTCCTCCGGGTGCTCCGGTTTCCCCCACAGTCTAAAGACATGCAGGACAGGTGAATTGGGTAGGCTGTGATAATATAGGCTGTGAGTGTGGATGTTTCCCAGAGATGGGTTGCGGCTGGAAGGGGAACTGTTGTGTAAAAAGTGCTGGATAAGTTGGCGGTTCATTCCGCTGTGGCGACCCCAGATTGATAAAGGGAATGAGCCGAAAAGAAAATAAATGAATGAATGAATGAATAAATGAATGAATGAAAGATATTAATTGTAATATGCAGTGGTTATTTTAGAGAGAACCGAAATGTCAGATGTCATAAAAATAAGCTAAAGTTTTTAGACTGATTCTGTCATGATGATGAGGCATATTTTAGGGTTAACTGACAAATTTTTTTTAAGTATTCATGTATTTATATGGTGGGTATGTATATACACACCGGCCACTTTATTAGGTACACCTTACTAGTGCCTGGTTGGACCCCTTTTGCCTTCAGAACTGCCTTAATCCTTCATGGCATAGATTCAACAAGCAACTGGAAATATTCCTCAGAAATTTCCCTCCATATTGACATGAGAGCATCACACAGTTGCTGCAGATTTGTCAGCTGCACATTCATGATGCCAATCTCCCGTTCCACCACATCATCCCAAAGTGCTCTATTGGATTGAGTTCTGGGGACTGTGGAGGCCATTTGAGTATAGTTAACTCATTGTCATGTGCAAGAAACCAGTATGAGATGATTCACGCTTAATGACATGGTGCGTTATCCTGCTGGAAGTAGCCATCAGAAGATGGGTGTGGTCATAAAGGGATGAACATGGTCAGCAACAATACTCAGGTAGGCTGTGGTATCGACATGATGCTCAATTGGTACTAATAAGCCCAAAGTGTGCCAAGAAAATATCCCCCACACCATTACACCACCTCCACCAGCCTGAACTGTTGATACAAGGCAGGATGGATCCATGCTTTCATGATGTTGATGCCAAATTCTGACCCGACCATCCGAATGTTACAGCAGAAATGGAGCCTCATCAGAGCAGGCAACGTTTTTCCAATCTTCTAGTGTCCAGTTTTGGTGAGCCTGTGTGAATTATAGCCTCAGTTTCCTGTTCTTAGCTGACAGGAGCGGCACCCGGTGTGGTCTTCTGCTGCTGTGGCCCATCCGCCTCAAGGTTGGACGTGTTGTGTGTTCAGAGATGCTCTTCTGCAGACCTCGGTTGTATCGAGTGCTTATTTGAGTTACTGTTGCCTTTCTATCAGCTGGAACTAGTCTGGCCATTCTCCTCTGAATATTTTTATGAATATTTTTTATCAATTTCCCAGTGAATCAGTCAATATTTGTGGTGCATTTAAACAAAACAGATTTAATAAATAGATATATTTATTAAAATAATATTTTAGTCACAGAGCATCTTTAGAAATAGTTCCAATAAGTTATTGCCAAAAAAAAACAAAAAAAAAAAAAATACACAAACTACAAAATGTCAACTAAATTTTATATTTTTAATGATTCTCTTGATTTTTATAAATCAAGAGAAACATTAATTAAATAAATAAAATAAAATAAAATAAATAAAATATAAATAAAATAAATAAAATATAAATAAAATAAAATAAAATAAAATAAAATAAAATAAAATAAAATAAAATAAAATAAAATAAAATAAAATAAAATAAAATTAAATTAAATTAAATTAAATTAAATTAAATTAAATTATTCATTCACATTTTTGGACGGTGAATTTTTTGTTGTAAGATTAGCTCCAGATCTGGCTTCATTGCTAACTAATCTAATGTATATGCACAAATATATATTTATAAAGCATCCTATTGAAAATAATAATTTAAAAGAGAGATGAGGGGGCACTCATATATGCTCAGCACTGTATGTTTAACAGTTTTTTTTACACATTTCACACTATTATTTTACACATAATAGTTTAATAACTCATTTCTAATAACTGACTTATTTTATTTTGCTATAATGACATAATATTTGAGTGTTTTTAAGATACAAATATTCAGCTTAAAATGACATTTAAAGGCTTAACTAGGTTAAGTAGATTTAAGTTATGATAATTAGGCAAGTCACTATATGACGATGGTTTGTTCTGCTGACAATCGTAAACAAAAATTGCTTAAGGGGGCTAATAATATTGACCTTAAAATGATTTAAAAGCTGCTTTTATTCAAGCGAAAATAAAGCAAGTAAGACTTTCTCCAGAAGAAAAAAAATATTACAGGAAATACTGTGAAAAATTCCTGAATCTGTTAAGCATCATTTGGGAAATAGTTGACAAAGAAAATCACAGGAGTGCGAATAATTCTGACTTCAAGTATGTAAGGTCTGTCTTTTAGTAGCGGCGGTGGGCGGAGTCTACACACACACACACACACACACACACACACTGATGTTCAACACTGTTCATCATCCTCATCCTCAGGAGCTGCTGCTGTTCAGGACACACACAGGAAAATCCACACGGAGATTCTCACAGCATCACATTGTGCATCATCACCCAGAGGAGACAAATCTGCTTTAACAACCTGTCCGTGTTGTTATTCAGCAGCGCGACGAGAATCTCAGTCACATTTCCGAAGATGGAAATCAAATAGACGCGGATTTACCTGAAGTTTTGCAGAAGCGGACACTGGAGTAAGCTGGAATAATAGCGTGCAATATTAACTATTGGAAATGCTGAACAATAACTGAACAAACACAGACTGCTTCTGATACTGGACATCGCACTTTTTTGCGTGTTTTTATTTGCGCGCCCTCGGGACTGTTACGCGCATCCATCATTTAGATTGCGTTGAACTATTCAGGAGTCAGGACAGCGTGTGAATCTCTCTTTCTCTCTGTCTGGAGTGGATTTAACACGTTAATACGCTGTAAGATGGAGGATCAGACGCATCTAATGCAGACCCTGGGCGGTGTGACCCTCGCCGGACACCCGCTGTCCTTACCGGCGCCTCATGACGGAAAACAGCAGGACATCGGAGACATTTTACAGCAGATCATGACCATCACCGACCAGAGCCTGGACGAGGCGCAGGCAAAGTTAGTTTCACAACAAACTTAAATAAATGTGCATATTAACTATACATTATTATTATTATTATTATTATTATTATTATTATTATTATTATTATTTAATCACAAAAAACGTTGTGCACTTTGGGTGGCTTACTCAAATCCTAGCTATTTTTAATGAGCTGAAATAACAATTCTTGAGGGTTTTGGGGGGGACAACCTAATTGTTTTATTTTCAATTCACTTAAATTTGTAAAAAAAAAAAAAAAAAAAAAAATATATATATATATATATATATATATATATATATATATATATATATATATATATAATTTTAATTATTATTATTTAACAACAAAACACATATCAGTGTGAACAAAATAACTGAACACAGGATATATGATAGTTCCACCGTTCACTTCTGTCTATGTGCATACTATTTATTAGCCCATATTATTATATAACAACACTAAAAAAATGATTTTTGGGTTTAGCTACTAATATTTTAAGGTAAGTGTTGAAAACTAATTATATAGGCTGAAATTAAGGAAATTAAATTTAGTAATGTTCAACTTAATTTGTTTTGTTTACATTCAGCCCATGTAAATTGTTTGCAACCACTTTCATGTGCATACTGTTTATTGTATTATTATAATATATAACAACAACAAAAGTATTTAATACACTCAAAAATACGTTTGTATTGGACGCCTTACTCAAATCATACCTATATTAAATGAGCTAAAACAACACAATTCTTGAGTTTTTTTGGGGGGACAACCTAATTGTTTTAATAGTCAATTCACTTAAATTTGTAAAAAAAAAAAAAAAAAAAAAAAAAAAAAAAAAAAAAAAAATATATATATATATATATATATATATATATATATATATATATATATATATGTAAATAATGAACACGGGTTGATATGTAACCTTTACTGCACAATTATGTTTAAGTGCATACTATTTCTTACATTATAACAACCAAAACGTATTTAAACCTGAGCACCCGGAGGAAACCCACGTGAACACAGGTAGAACATGCAAACTCCACACAGAAACACCAACTGAGCCAAGGTTCGAATCAGCGACCCAGCGACCTTCTTGCTGCAAGGTGACAGCACTACCTACTGCGCCACTGTGTCACCCCTGCACAAAATTAGTTATTATAAATTAGTTAATAAAACTATTATGTGGAACGTGTCAGTAAATCGCTCTTTTAAACAGCACTTGGCAAAATATTCTGAAAAGAATTCAAATTTCACAGGAGTATGAAAAATGTTGTTTATAACTCTATGGCAGGGGTCACCAAACTTGTTCCTGGAGGGCACATTTTACTTGTTCCTGCACATTTTAGCTTTAACCCTAATCAAACACACCTGAACAAGCTAATCAAGGTCTTACTAGGTATACTTGAAACATCCAGGCAGGTGTGTTGAGGCAAGTTGGAGCTAAACCCTGCAGGGACTGAGCCCTCCAGGACTGAGATTGGTGACCCCTGCTCTATGCCCTTTAAACGATAAAAGAGCAATATAGGCCACTAATGCACATGAAAAATAATAATTTGCTTCCTAAAGAGAAACACTGCATAGATATCTACATTAGATGTCGCCTGGCCTATTGTTGTCTATTGGACGGAATGCGTCAATAGCGCCGCCATCTTCGTACAGGGTAGCGCTCCTTTGAAATGAATGCGGGACCAAGGTACAGTGGAGGACTGTGGCCATCCAAAGCCAGAGATATACACATATACACATATATCTATGATCGGGAGATTTCCTGGATGTTAGTATGTAATTTTTTTTCTAATTACGAAAATTATAATTTTACATGACTTTTCTACATTGATGGATCAGTGACCGCACGGGCATTCCTGACTAAAAGCTTGTGTTTGTGTGTACAGAAATGTACTATTCACCCTCCCTGTTAAATTTGATCTAATCATGTCCTGAAACACAGCTCCTCTCCTGCTTTCACTTCTCATACTGACGGAGGGAGCGATTCGTTTGTGAATGAATCCCCCGAACGACTCTTTCACTAGCCGACAATAATACAAGTTTCTGGCAGCGCAGCATCTCGTTGTCATATTTCTTTTGCATTGTTTGCTGATTTTATTCAACAAAACTATTATAAGCCGAGTGTTTAGTGCGAGTTGGAGCTGCTTTGCCTTATGGTGAATGCAGTAAGAGACTGTTATCATCAATAACTTATAACTAATAACTTAGCACAAAAGTTCAGAACATACAAAAACAGAAAAAAACTTAATCTTACCTATGAAATGTTCTGCCTTTGTGCTTTGTTTTCTTTGTTTGCTCGTTACTACACCCGTAGACATCGCTAAAGTCCCGCATCTTCACGTAATAACACTGTCTTGACTAGTGAGGTTGAGTGACATTTGTCCTGGGAGCACTGTACCAATGTGGCGGCGCTATTGACACATGCTCAGGGTCCCTATGCGATATCTAGTGTATATATCTATGGAAACACTGAACCTACATGAAACTGTGAGAAGCAGTTAAGTAGCCAAATTTAGCAGCACAGTTGAGGAGTCAATTCGAAACACTATTTGAACTGCATGTGTGAATGATCAAATATTCCTCTGCTTGTCTTTAATAGAAAGCACGGGCTGAACTGTCACCGGATGAAGCCGGCTCTCTTCAGCGTGCTCTGCGAAATCAAAGAGAAAACAGGTGAGTGCTCCTTTATTTCCCGCACAATGTGCCCCCGTAATACACCTGCACGGATGCTGCTTTTCAATGTAGCTCACAATAGTCTGACTGAAGCTCACGTTTAATACAGACAATAGTGTGTTTTACACTGACAGATGCTTCTCTAGCAAGGTGTCAATGAGCTGTGTCTGTGTGCTTCCGGATGACGTGTTTGATAATGGTGCGATTGCAGTATTCAAGCCAAAACAATGCATGTTAACAGAGAAAAACTATTAAAGGAGAACTATTGTGCAAACATCCATTTCTGTGTGGAGTTTGCATGTTCTCGTGTCGCTGGGGGTTTCCTCCGGGTACTTCGGTTTCCCTCACAGTCCAAACACATGCGCTATAGGGGAATTGGGTAAACAAAATATGCCATAGTGTATGAGCATGTGTGTGAATGCAAGGGTGTATGGGTGTTTCCCATATCTGGGTTGCAGCTGGAAGGGCACACGTTGTGCAAAACATATGCTGGAATAGCTGGCAGTTCATTCCACTGTGGCGACCCCTAATAAATAAGGGACCACTAAACACACAGTGGTGTTAGAATAAGATGCAGGACAGGCTTATTGTGGATACGTACCCCTGTCTACATTTCTGGAGAGTGGGAATTATGTAGCCAGACGTACGTTCGCCTTAAAAACGAATGCTATGCAGCTGTATGACATCGCAGATGGCTTCTTTTCTTTTTCACGCTACACCTTACCTCCATATAGATTGCTTTTTCACTGTTACCAGTTTGCCCAGTAGTTCACCATGAATATCTTCAGACTTGGGATGCGGAGCGAAGTTGACCGTGACAATAGGGTTCAAGTCTGGCAAAGAATAGTTACAGAAACCAGATAACACAAAAACATAAAATAAAGAAGTAGGGGCGACATGGTGTGGAGCTTGCATGTTCTCCGTGTGCTCCGGTGTCCCCCACAGTCTAAACACATGCGCTATAGGTAAATTGAATAAACTAAATTGGCTGTAGTGTATGTGTGTGATTGTATGGATGTTTCCCAGTACTGGGTTGCAGCTGGAAGGGCATCCGCTGTGTAAATCAGATGCTGAATAAGTTGGCGGTTCATTCCACTGTGGCGACCCATGATGAATAAAGGGACTAAACCGTAGAAAAATGTATGAAGTACGTAATTTAAACAACAAGCTGAAAATGTGGTGAAATCACGCAACGGCTTTTCTTTTTCTAAATTGCTTTTGAAAACACTATCAGTTGGGTTTAGGGAAGGGGGTGGGTGGTTCAGTCAATCATGACTGCTGCCCATTACATTACAAACCACAGGAGAGGGACAATTCTCCAGCAGGATAGCGCCCTCATACTTCAGCCTCCACATCAAAGCTCCTGCAAGCAAAGACGGTAAAGGTGCTCCAGGATTGGCCAGCCCAGTCACCAGACATGAACATTATTGAGCATGTCTGGGTAAGATGGAGGAGGAGGCATTGAAGATGAATCCAAAGAGTCTTGATGAACTCTGGGAGTCCTGCAGGAACACTTTCTTTGTCATTCCAGATGACTTTATTAATCAGTGATTTGAGTCATGTCAGAGATGTATGGATGCAGTCCTCCAAGCTCATGATGGAGTCAGACTCAATATTCATTCTGTTTCCACTGCAGCAGGACTTTATATTCTATACCGGACATTATTTCTGTTCAGTGACGAGTTTTGTCTAAGCAAAGTCAAACATTACTTACTAATGAAATCATAAATAATAAAGGCATGATCATATTTTATTGGTCAATTAAGTGTAATCTAGAGGCCTTTACTTTTCATATAAGCCACTTCTGATACCAAATGATCAACTAGAAGTTATTATTTGCTGTTTCTAAAACTTGGAAAGGCAACAAGACTTTTGTCAGGTAGTGTACACTGTAAAAAATTTACGGTAAAAACCGGCAGCTGTGGTTGCCAGTACTTTACCGTTAAAAACACGGTACAAACCGTACAAGTAATTTTTCATTTTTACGGTAAATTACCGTATTTTATTAATTTATAGAGGTAATATGTTTGTATTTTGAATGACCAACATCTACACATCTTTTGTTACACAGTTAGACACGTTAGCACACCCACATGCAGGTGATGAGAAAGTTACATAATGAGCCAATGCTCATCACAATCAACTTTTCCCACAAGCAGAAAAGAGTAGCAGCATGTAGAAGGTGCTCAGTGTCATTCACACAGCTACTAATCACCAGTATGGTAACACGCATAAAATTAAAGTCATGAAATAAACATTGTTTATCAACATTAGATGTAACATAAATCTCTAATGTACACAACTGATGGGGAAACAACTAAAAAGATCCACATTAATGTCAAACAAATGCATAAAAAAATGTGTTATGCAGGGAATTCTGGGAAAGTCAATTCACTGTTATTCGCTTTATATTTTAAGGAAACATGCTGTTAACCGAGATATATCCAGCTGCAGGCCCGCAGAACCACACACGTTTAGGCACACACAATCTAGGCAAACCATATATGGTTACGACGGATGTTAAAGTTATAACGTCTTTTTGGACATCGTCATCGATATATTTTGATATACAGTATATGATTAATAAATATTGTACACAATAAACAATAGTGTTTACTTTACTTTATTTCACAAATATTGCGATTGAGACGGCCGAATGGGGAGCATTGTTTCCGATCGCCATTCAATATAATAGAGTGAACAGTTTTCTATCAGTCATCATAGCTGATCAGTCATTATTATCTGACAATAATATGGCAGATACTCGTTTGCTGGCCTTGCTGAATGATCTAATTTGGACAGGTTTCATTTATAAAAATGGATTAATTTATGATGAAGGAAATAATAGCAAGTTAATATAGGCAATAATACATTATATGTAATAAAAATCTTTTTACATGTAACAAATGTATAACACTATATTAATATTTTACTAATGCTATTTAATAGTGTTTATCAGCTTAATTTTATAATAACCTTTTAATTAATGATTTCCCACATTTAATACTGCAGTAATTTAATACTACAGTAATAGGAAACAAATAGGAACAAATTAACTATTGATAATAAAAAAATCATAAGTATATATGACACACACACACACACACACACACACACACACACACACACACACACACACACACACACACACACACACACACACACACACACACACACACACACACACACACACACACACACACACATACATATACACATATATATATATTTATATATATATATATACACACACACACACACACACACACACACACACACACACACACACACACACACATATATATATATATATATATATATATATATATATATATATATATATAACAGCTGTGTCTGTTTAGTAAAAGATAGTAGTTTATATATAAACTTATAATTATAATCAGTTAAGATAATCAGTTTATAACTATATATATATATATATATATATATGTTGTTTAAATGATTAACTATAGTAGGATAATTTATTTTAAAGTGACATATTATTGTTTGCTTTTTATATTTTACGACAAAGTGATTTTAACCAAGTATGATAATATTAGGAGCTTGAATTAGTTTATTACACTTAATCCAACAATTAGACGGTCTATTTTGTTTTCTTTGTGTATATGGACACATGAACAAAGTCATAAGTGTCTTTAACCAATTATTTTTATTTACATAATTTGAGTTTAGAAACTGCAGAGATGTTAAAATGATCATTACGATATAATAATAATAATAATGACTGAAATGGGAAACCATATTTGTGAAATTCAGAAGGTGGCGATAATGCTAAAGAGTTAGTTATCATATATGGTTTTGTGTGTCCTAGATTGTGTGTGCCTAAAACATGTGTGGTTCTGCGGGCCTGCAGCTGGATATTATTGGGTTAACCAGGTTACAGATTTGTACTGTAGCATTTTTACAGTTTTTTACCGTTGAAATCACGGCCATATTTTACAGTGTAGTTAGTAAATATACAGTAAGTTGTCAATCAATGTCGAAACCTAAAGTGGCGATGAGGTCACAAAATGTATAGAGAGAGTCTTTAAAAGGTATTTAATTTCACTCGCTGATTCCTTTATACACCCTCATTAAGTCGTCCGCCCAAAAAAACGTGAGAATTGTGTTCATTTAACTCATTCATGCAGCAAAAGTCTTGACTCCTCTTTCAACTCAACTCACGCCTAATAATTTCACATGCAAACATCATTTTTGCAGCGCACGCACATTTGCAAATATGCGTCTCTCAATCTGCAGAAATCAATTGTCAGCTTTCAGTAAAGCAAAGCAATTGCATTTGATTCATTAGGCTGATTTACAGACGTGCTTTATATTAAGTAAGCACTTCTGAAAGCCTGCTGGGGACGTTTTATTATTGACGCAATCTGACAGAGCTAATGAGCCAAATAAATCAGCCTGAATATTATATCTCTATTTGGCCAATAAAATTTAATTAGGAGAAACTATGAAATATAACAAAAGTTTGAACTAAACGGCAGCATGAACATTGATGTAGGCTGCTGTTTTAGAAAGAGAGATTATATGATGACTGAAAGAAAGAGGCTTATGAAAGATAAAATGCACTTTATTTAAGTATACTTAGTACACTTTTTAGTAATGTACTAAAAGTGCTCTATTTTCGCACACTAATTTTGTACTTAATGTACTAAAAGATAGTATTAAATATGTTAAGATAAACTTAGTATCATCTAAGTGTACTCAACTGTGCTATTTTAAGACACCCTGAAATTGAACTAAAATGTGCTTTTAACATACTATATCTGTATTTAAAAAAATATACATTTAGTTACAACTAGAAATACACTTAAACCCTACTTTTAAACATTTAAATACATTTATGACTAATTTAAAGTATAATAGTAATATTTAAAAAAATATACAAATTGTAAAAAAAAAAAGTGTGCTAAATACTGTATTAAAAGTGCTCTAATTTCCCAAACTAATTTTGTATTTAATGTAATAAAAATTAGTATTAA